TCCTCCAGGACGGGGCCTACTACGATCCCCTGCTGGCGGGTGGGTGGGACAGGCCTCTCAGGTGACGGGACTCAAAGTTTTGCAGGATGAGTAGGAGTCCGTGAGCTGGAGCCTGGCGGATGCCATCCAGGTTTAGGGGCTGCTGCCCCTCGCCTGGTCCCCACCTCTTGGGCTTCAGTCCCTGGGCCAGGGCCTGTCCATGGGAATTAGGCGAGTTCTCTCCTCACCTGGTAGGTGAGATCAACACATGTCCTCCAGGGCACTGCGGACTTCCACCTGCTCTCACTTTCCGCCATGCTAGCTCCTTCCCTGCCTTGAGACCCCTCTGCTCAGCGGCCAGCAGGCCCCAGAGGTCCTTAGCCCACACCTGTGGTCAGTACCTTTCCTCAAGGCCATGGCCCATGACTTCTGAAAGACTGGCTGAGGGTGAGAGCAAAGGCTGCCAGCTTCATCTCTCCCTGCATCCTGGGGGCCCAGTGGAGACGCTGGCATACAGCAGGAGCCAAGCATTCGTTTGAAGGGTGGACTGAACCGGGTGCTGAGTGGAGTGAGTGTGTACTGGGATGTCACAGCTGTGCCCTCGGGGTGGGATGTGTCCCCTTGCCCTTCTTCTGGTGCTGTCGGGGCCAGGGGACACAGCCAGTTGACCCGTTATTAATCTCAGTTATCAGGCCCGACGTGTCCACGGGCCCGGAGCTCTGAAAGGGCTTACCCTGGAAGCCATGCTGAATAAAAGTTACCCAGTGTGTGTGACACGTTGTTCTAGATGCAGGGGACACATTGGTGTCCCTGCCCCTATGAGGTTTCAGTCCAGTGAGGGACTGAAATCATTTCAGGAAGCAGCAGATGCCTGGAAGCCAGTGAGAGGGATGGGCTGGGCCACAGCGTGTGGCTATGGGGATGGTGGCCGACATTACCTAGCGGTCAGGGAAGGCCACTCTGAGAAGGTGACGCTTAGCTGAGACCTGGATGACAGAGAGGCACCTGTCGTGGGAGGTGTGTGGCGAGGATGTTCTGGACAGGGAGCAGCCAGCGCACAGTCCAGAAGAAACTCATGGTGCTCAGGAGCAGAGGGCGGAGGCCGGTGCCGGGCGCGGAGAAGGGGGCGTGTTTCCGGTGAGAGGCGAAGTCGGGTGATGGGCAGCCCGGCCCGAGGGAGTCTTGTTGGTGGTGGTGGTGGGGGTGTCCCTGGAGTGTTTTAGTTGGAGGAGGGAGCATGCTGCCTGCTGTGACCTGAAACCTAGGTTGCTGGTGGGAACGCAAAATGGAACAATCTTTTTGGAAAGTAAATCGGCCTGAAAAATATGTGTTCCCTTTGATTCAGGAAAGCTAGTCCAAGGAAATCATCTAACTACAAAGATACAGAGATGTTCCTCATCAGAGCAAACATCACAAATAGCCCAGTTACCCAAGAAGGGCGCATGCGTGATGTCACAGTGGGGGATGGGTGGCAGCGTTATTTTAGAAAAACCCAAGAAAAGCAAGTGGGCTGGTGTGGACCCACACAGAGAAGGCTTAAGTCGCTACGAGGGTGTACGGTTGTGAAGTACTTATGATGATATGGAAAACTGGCAGAGGAGAAGTGTTAAGTGACCGAGAAACGGGAAAAGAAATGCGAAAGACACTTTGCATTTTGAGCCTCCCCAAATTGGAAAAACGGGGTAAAATGACTTTCTGGGAAAATACAGATGAGAAGTCAAGCTGCTATCAGACGAGGAAGAAGTCTAAGTAGGAGAATTAGTGGAGAAGAAACAGAGAAATCTGTGAAAGAATCACCACTTCTCTGCTCAAAATCCAGGCTCAGGCAGTTTCACAGAATGACAGTTTGCTGAACTTTTAAAGAAGGGTGAGCCTCAGTGTGGCTTACACAGCCCAGAGCAACAGGAAAAAAAGGCGAGAACTTAAACCCGACAAAGATTTCTCGAAGAAAATAGCAGGCCAGTCTCACCTGTGAATATCAGTATAAAGACTTGAGTAAAACATCGGTGGAATCCAGCAGCACATTCAAATAAGACTATCCTACAACACTCAAGTGCAAGATTGCCTAGTGTAAAGAATGCTATTCATAATAACGATCATGAATTCACAATATGAGGAGATCAAAGGAAAAATCATCATCTATATGGATCCTAGGAAGGCATTTGGGAAAATACAACTTCCATTCTGAATTTTTACAGAACCTTCATCGAATAGAAATCAGTAGACTTTTTTGTTCACTGCAAGTCAAAGTTACATCTCTTT